GTGTGTGTGTGTGTGTGTGTGTGTGTGTGTGTGTGTGTGTGTGTGTGTGTGCATAAAACAACCAGTTCATATAAATGTACGTTTGCAGTCATGCTCTTGCTGATAGTGTAGATTATTTTTTATCCTCCGATGTTATTGCTAAAGTGCTTGTTCTTGGTTTAAAAAAAGATCCAACCTTTAGCTCAGATGGACTGTTTATTTTCATCCTCTGTGTCGTTAATCTCCTTCTGTCAATTGAGACGACATTTGGTGTGAAGGATTATCAGGCCTGCCTCTAAATTTACTCTGTCTTGAGTGGGCGTGGTGGAAAAAAATGCCCGTGGCTTGTCCGTGTGGTCATTAACTTTTCTCACCTTTTCCAGAGCTTCTTTGAGACTGGGAATAGGATGGTCCAAAGGGAGAGGCTCCGGGAAGCGAGGACACATCATCTCTGACTTGGTGTTGCGACCCGACTCTTCGTCTGGGTGATGAGAAATGAGAAAAGAGATTAAAAAAACAAAAGGCGACTGGAGCCTCGGGAGATGTGCTTTTGGAAATCCTTTTTTTTATATTTAAGAGAACGTTTGTCGAACACAAAGAAAAAGATAATGTGGTGTAATTGACCGACAGAGGTTTATGAATTCTTTCTGTTCACAGACGTATTCTCTTGATCTCACAAAACAGACAGGATGTATTGTGTACAACTCTGTGATATAAAAAGATGGAGCCTGTTCCTTTTGTGAGCACAGATAATTTAGTGAATCTCACCGCAGCCTCAGGGCACCACTTCATGTTTTATTGTAAACAGCTATTATTCCAAATGAGTTTTTATGATACAAAACAATTTAATGTGCTACAGTTTTTTACTTGACAGAAAATTCCTGACAACATGGGGCAGTGATCAAATTTGACAGCCAACCCTGGTCCAGTTGTAGAGATGGCACCATGTATAGGGGCAGATAGGGGGTGGTAGCTGCACTGGAAAAAAAATCTTGCCCCAGTTGCCATCCCATTTGTAGGCTATAATTTTGAACATTTTGTACTCAAAGACAAAGATATTTAATTTTTCTGCTGTATTGATGTTAAAGACTCACAGACACTTCTCTTGAGAATTTAAAATGGTTTCACCTGTCAACCGGCGCTGCAGATTTTACTAGCAGAAATGGTTTCAAATCATCCAAAACATTAAAGTGACCAATGGAAAGCTCCTGATCCCAAAACCCACTGGAGTGGCAGGTGACAAATAAAGTTTATTCGTTTCACCACCAGATAAAAGCTATGATAAATTATGCAATAATGAAGTTTACACGCTTCTCCAAGTTTGTATTTCTCTACTTATTAGGACCGTTCACTGACTTCCATTAATTTCCAGTAGTTTCTACAGGCTAACCCTGACCACCAACCCTAAAACTAACCTCACAGTACCAGATCCTAAAACTAAGCCAAACTCAGTGGTGGGCAGCACTAATCTAAAAATTACTTCCACTAGCCAGAAAACACTAACTCAAATATTTAGTTCCCCTAATTCTAAAGCACTAATGCACTAAAAGTTTTAGCAAAAGCTAATTCTAAAGCACTAAAAAACCCAGTCAACCCAAGAACATTCTTCAACAGACAATGAGTCACATATTGCCATGTTGCTCTCTTTGACATTCCACAGATGTATTTGAGTTCATACGTTGTCAACATATTGTCACCTGGTGGATCAGTGACACACGTATTAAAATGTCTGACAGCTTTCACCATCAGCTGTTAACCTTAATATTGATCAGTAAAGTTTATAGACCTCAGTTAGTGCTTCAAAATTTAGCCTATAAATTTAGCAAGTGCTAATCCACTAATAAATTTTTAAAATTAGCAAAAGCCATAAAGCACTAATCAGGAAATTAGTTCCCCTATTAGTGCTTTAGTGCTTTAGGGGAACTGTGCCCACCACTGCCTAAACTCAATTCACACCTTAGTCCTAAAATGAACCCCCAACCCAAAGCTGGAGTTCCACCATATTAGGACCAGTCTTTGGTCCCCATTAGGACTACTGGTCTTGACAAGGTAGGTGCGTACCGGAAATGGTCCTAAATAGGTAACAAAAACAAGCGCACACACACACACACACACACACACACACACACACACACACAGCCTTGCTGGAACCTCACACCACATGTTTGCAACGCAAAGAAAATATTCTTTAGATCTGCCATGGTTGTATAGATTTAAGTAGTTGAAGGAAGGAAGGAAGAAAGGAAGGAAGGAAGGAAGGAAGGAAGGAAGGAAGGAAGTCAAATAGGTAAAACTGCATTGTTTTAGGCATAAAACATCAAAACCAGACATGTGTTCAAGGCCAAGACAGAGATGTTAAAAAAAATAACTGCAAAAGAATGTCAGTGTTAAAAAGTCAAAATGCCTTTAAAAACAACAAATTGTAATTTGAAGCAGACAAACTTCAGAAAATGTTTTTTTAAAGAACTTTAAAAGACAACCTTGGTCACAAACCGTTCCTTCATTAAACAATTTTTGTGACTTGAGCAAAATATGACTCACTCCTCTGCTGAGACTAAAAAAAAAAAACAGTGATAAATGATCTGACTGCTGTGAGGACAGGCAGAACAAAATAAAAGTCACAGCAGTTTATTGGAATACAGATTTACAGAGAAGAGTTGAAATAAACTTAAACAAAAAACAAAGCCAAATCAGTTTAACCATCTAAATACTCATCATGCTGACACTTTAAAATTGCTGAATAATTAACAGCTAAATTTAGAGAAGAAGCAGAAACCATCACAATGTTTTCAAAGCAATCAAAATCAATAAGGTAAAAGGTTTTACCTATAAAAATTATACTTTAGAGTAAACAAAACAGCTTTATTTTTCAAGTTTACTCCATACTGGAATTAAAGTGAACCCTCTTAGCTCTTGGGTAGAATAAATTAGCACCAAAGTTGAACACCCAGGACAGAATGTAGACATGTCCAGCTGTCAACATTTTTAAGAAATGCTGCATTTTTATGTATATTACATTCTTATGCTATAGTCATTTACGCATAAATAGGCTAAGTTTCATTAAGCTGAGTTTTAGTGGAGCTACTTCAAATCAAACCGCTTCAAGTGTGAATCTCAAAATAGTCAATATAATTTTGAGATACTTCTGTACATGAAAATTCTGCATTAACATCAGAACCGACATCTAAAGTATAAATAAATTTAACCTCTGAGCTCAAGAAGACATGTCTAATCAAGACTCCGGTGCAAACCACTAGAACCACTTTTTAAATGAGTTTTTAAATAAACTAAGGAATAAAACATCTCAAAAGGTCATTTAAAAACACACCAAGATAAAGAGCTTTAAGACACAGATGACAAATTTTGAATGAAAAAAAAAAAACTATCCACGCAATGGCATTTGTCAGGAATCATCTTACCTGGCAAAACCTTTGGTAGTTGATATTGCCAGAGGAAGCAGCCTGTCATCACTAGTGACAAAATGAGGAAGAAGACCAAACCAAGATGTGTCCATTTCACCTTCATCCTGTGGCTTTTAGAGAGTTTTTCGAAGGCAACAGCAGGAGCAGGAACACAGGGAGTGGTCACAGCTGCAGTTGGCTTTAACAGACAGGAAACCAAGACATGCAACAATACAAGTTAGCTTTGAATGTGACCTATATTTTTAATCTTAAACAGTCCAACTGTTTTTCTTTATTTGTAGTTTAAACATTGGACAAGCTGTTCTCCTTATTTGTGTTGATTCCAGATGTAAAACTAGATGTCCCGGTCAGCCTATGAAACGTCAAAACGCTCCCTGTTCCACTTAAAGTACTCACCACCTGATGCTTCACAGGCCAGACTGGAGCAGGATTACCAGAGACACAGAAATCTTCTTATCCCTCAGCCAACATCATAAATATTCACTCAGAGTCTTTTCTGTCATGTAAGCAATTTCCACTTTCCAAAGGCAATAAGTGGTTTCCCGTGGAGGTTTTCCTGATCATCAGAAAGGCACAGACATGGACTCTCATCTCTGATTTCCCACTAACTATGCTGTAATCCTGCACCATCGGTGCTCTCGTTCCTCACAATTCAATTTCCTCTCTAGCAGCCATGGGCTGTTGACATCATAATCCCCCAGATTTACTTCACCAAAGCGGCCGGGGAAGTCTTAATCTCTAATCCCTGTGAATCAATTCACTCTAGTCAAGCTTCTCCTTGTGGAGTCCAGTAACAGGGTCACATCAGCTGAGGTGGCGCCCACTCAGGCTAACACAAGTTGAGACAGGGTGTCAGGGTGAGCATGTCTGCCAAATCCTTATCTGAGAAATACAATCATGAAGGTGCAGCAAAATTAACTCGATTACGCAATTCAGTGTACCGGGAAAAATACGGAAAATGAGTAAGGAAAACAGGCAGTCCAGCTTTTAAATTGCATGCAATAGCTGTAACTACAACGCATAATACACAATGTAACAAGATGAAAGCTGATAGCATTATCAAAATATAAAGGGGGCAATGTTATGTGTTTCTCCGGCATAAATTTACATTTTATACCATAATAAAGTAACCGTGTCAAATTCAGTTGTTATTAAAATGCTGTTTTTATGTTCAAATAGAAAATAAACTTGACTTCTCATCATATCTGTTCTAAACGCCTTGAAATTGGCCTCTGTCTCTTTAAGAACCACCTTCTACTTCTGTCCCGCCCATTTCAGCACAGGGTGTGCGTGCTTTGCACTGAGGAAATTCAGCTTGGAGACACAGCCCAGAGGAGGAGCTGGTCCCAAAAAGGCGGTTCTAGTCCCAACCGGTTGTTTTTGCTCCCCTGCCTGGCTGCCTCAGGACACAACAGGATTTCTCAAACATGCATGAATGAATCAAAGCAAGACTCTGTGCATGTTTTGAATGAGAGGATAACATTATAACATGATAAAAAACAAAAAAAGTTGATTTTACATGATGTTGCCCCTTTAAAAGGGATTCTAAAAAAAGTCATCATCGGACGCACTTCAAGATGGCTGCCAGAGCCATACAACCTCAGCAAACACAAAATACCTACAATTCAGCCAATTCAAAATTTATTCAGCTGTAATGTTATGTAATTGTAAACACATTAAGAATTATTAGATCTGTTTCTAGATATTTGCATTAAATATTAAAATTAACCCTCTGTCGGTTAGCAAAAAATCTCATGAACCTGAATGGATTTTATTGAAACTTTCCGAAATTAATCCTCAAATGTACATTTACAACTGATTACTTTTTGGAGTTTACCCTATTCAAGATGGCTGCCCTGCTTACAGAAATAAGAAAATACATAAATTGCTATAACTGTCAATTTTACAGAAATTGTGCTAAATTTAGTGTGGTAATAGCTCAGAGTTTCCCCCAACACTTTTTCCAAGTGGTAACATAAGATTTTAAAATGTCACATCAGATCTTTTTTTAATGCCATTTACAAAGTTTGAACAAAATGGCCAAAACTCCATCTCTTCTCCTAATCTTACCTAATTTTGTAGATGTCTTAAGTTGTTTAGGAAACATTTTACTGTTAAAAAAATCAGAAGAATGTATTTTTTGTTGTTGATTGGTGATTTTTTTTTACACAAAAAATACACCTTTTTTGAACATCTTAGCAAAAACTGTTTCAAGCATAACCCAATTCAAGCAGTGGTCATTATGTGCTTTCTGTCCACTCCATCACCAAACTCTAACGGCTGAAATATTTGGTTCAACGCTCAGTAATGTATTTTGTTGATTAGAAGTTGTGATGCAGAAAAATCAAGTGTGAAAGCAGAGCAGCAGCTGATCCTGGTTGTGTAATCTCTGCTGAGAGAGAGCAGAGCAGCTGGCCCATTTTACCAGCACATGCACATTTCCAACCACTAGAGCACTCATCATCACAGAGGTTAAATGTGTTTTTACTTAAATGGACATTTTGTGTGTTTTCTGCTCAACATTTTGAAGATAATATGGATTTATAGTTTGTACAGCACATGCTAGGCAGCTGTTTTTACCTGTGTTTGAACCCCATCCACCGAGGTTTCCAGCAGAACTTTGCTCCCTGTCTTACCCATGGTTTTACAGCACAATCTGTTACATAAAAAGGAAAAAAAAAGGTTATTATTTCAGCACAAAATCACAAAAATAGTTTTTTAGCAAAGCAGCTCTGCCATTTTGCACATTCAGTATTGTCTGGAGTGCAAAGCTGAGATAGCAGGCCAACAGAAAATGAAATGATTCAGCAGAAACATGTTTATGGAAGGATAGTTTTATCAGTAGAAATTTTCAAACTGTTGACAGCAGTTAATATGAACAATTTCCCCCTTTATAGTCAGTGCAAAATAGATTTATTTTTCATTAAAAAAATCCAGATGATGCAGACCTGACAAAAAGACATCACTTCACAGCTATCTAAACAGCAATAAAATATATGTATAAACTCATTTTATAACCTCACAGGATTGTAGATGACTTTAAAATATTAGAGACTGAAAGAAGAAATAAACTAGACCAACTGCATGTTGTGAAAACACGTTACAGTGATATAATATTTTGTCAGAGTAGAACCCAAAGGGACATTCAGGAAGACATGGAAAACCTGCAGCTTTTTACTGATGCCTTTGAACACATCTGTCAGTGGGAACAAGACATTTTGCCATAAAAAAGTAAAGGAGGTGGACTTATGTTCCCTAAGAGAACATGTCTTTCTCTCTTAATTTTGTTTTTTGAGGAAAGATTTCTGTTCTAATCAGAAACAAATTTAAAACACTCAGAGGGACTAAAGCGCAGCCACATCTGTGGCATCAATTTGTGAAAATATTGAGTTTAATTTAATTTTTTTCCTGGGTAAATATCATGGGCCACTAAAAGGTTGACCGCCGCTGAGAGGTTAGCAGAAAATCTCCTGAACCACTGGACAGATTTTAATGAAACTCTCAGAAAGTAATTATTAGATGTGCATCTACATCTGACTGACTTTTGGAGTCAGCTCAACATGTCCACCACAGCTTGTCCACTTTCAAAAAGAAGAAAATGACACAGTCAGTTTTGCAGAATTTGATGCAGTCCTAATAATATACTCCTGAATCACTTCTGCCTGCCTCTGAATTATGGGTTCCCCATTGTTGCAAATGTGACATTATTTTGCTCTGACATTCTAGTGCACTCAAATGACAATGTTTGATCAGGGTGCTAGTGTCATGGGATTCTGTAGTAATTTGTCGCTGTCACTTTTTTGGTAATATCTGTTATTAATCAGCTTCTAGAAACATTTCTCAAAAATGTACAAACCGTGAACACAAAGTGGTTCAGACACAAGGTGAGAATTCAGAAGCAAGAGACAAAAATCTGACATGAAACATAAGGAACCATGTATACACTGAGGAGGATAATGACTAACAGGATGCAGGAGGAAACAGAGAAAAATAATAAAGAAACAAGAAAAAAAGAACAATAACCACAACATGAAGGGAAGCTGAGTAAGAAAATACAATCCTGACCGAATCAATAGAGCACAGCTTGTAAGACAAGCATCAAATGATTTGTTGCCCTCATAAATAAATACAGGAAACTATCGTCAGGTTTGTTTGAGAACATCCTGTTCATCTCCTTCTAGTTTACCCTTCAAGTCAGGTAGTTGTTAGTGTTTGTTAGCCGGGTGTGAGTTCTACTCATCATTCTCTCGCTCTAACTTTTGCCTCTTGATTTTAGTTTCTTTCTCTGCTCATTGGTGTCCATCCTGTAATTTCCAAGTTGTTATGCACTGTTGTGCTCAAAATCCCTAACAGAAAAACTTTCTTAAGATATTTTTTCAAGTAGTTTAGTTATAATCTCAGTTCGGCCCTCATTTTTAGCTCATCAAGACTTTTCACCAGTTTTAAATGATGGGTGTGATTAAAGGCTTGCTCACAGTTTTCCATTTCTGAAAACATCATCAGCATCAAGTGAATGAATCGGGGCTGTTTTATTGGTAATTCCAGAGTGGGTGAGCCTTTACTTTATAAAGTTCTAAAAGTGCCCCATAGTAGATGATACGAGCCTAAACTCTTTTATCCCTGTTTCACCATTTGTATCATATTTGCTACGCAGGGTTCTGTGACCTGTATTTTATCAATGTGATCATTGGGTCTCATGCAAGAACATGTTCGTATTCTTATCCTAAATTTCTCTTACTTTTGTTCGTACAAAGGGTTCGTACGAACA